GCAACGGATGGGGACGAGTTTGTGATCCAGATTGGAGTGACCATGAAGCCAAGACTGTCTGCTATCACGCTGGATACAAGGTAACTAATTCATGATAGCGTCAGCCTCACAACTGGGAGGTCGTGGGTTCGAGCCCCGGCCGCGTCGTACCAAAAGACGTTAAAAGACGGGAGTTGCTGCTACCTTGTTTGGCGTTCACCGGGAGCGTTCCACAATAAGGGATAGAGCAACGTCGATCTGGCGCTGCTCTGTGGCTGCCGGGCTCACGATCAATTGGGCAAAAAGAATTTCCATTTTCGGTTTAATAAAATTTGGAGTGGACTTTAAACGATTATTATTAGCTCAGACTGATGCTAGTGGCCTTGCAAAGTGATAACACAATAATCATCCCTGAATATCCCTGAATATTCCCAAACAACTCCACCTCACTCCCCCTTGTTTCTGCTACCCGAATATTTGAACAAGAACTTTTTTTTGTAGTATTTTGTAAGGCGCTTTGAGTAGTCCTTTGGATAAATATGAGTACATATATTTTTAGAAATGTACTATCCATATTATTAAAGTGAACAAATCCTTTCTTTTTGTTTAAATGTGGGGGTACCGAAGCCCCCTACCCCCCCCCCCCCTCCTCCCCTCCCGCGCCCACTTCCGCTGATCATGTAATACTAATATAAGCCTAAATGAAAGTACTCTTCTTTTTTCATCTAATTTATAGTGGGGAGCGTCACGAGCGGCAGGCTCCGCAGAGGTTTCAGCACCCTTTGACCTCGAAGCTCCATTCATTATTGATGGTATAACGTGCTCCGGCGTCGAGAATGAAACCCTAAGCCAATGTCAGATGAAAGTTTCTGCAGACATGACATGCGCAACAGGCGATGTCGGAGTCGTTTGTGAAGGTGAGTATTCAGCCTATATGATCGACTTCGAACAAATTTCTGTGTTTCCTATCGGTTTCGAATATTGAAATGAATGTTGATAACAAAGGTGAAAGATGTGACTTCGCAGTCAGAGAAAAGGCCCAATCACCCCCACCCCCCCCCCCCCCCCCCCGCTATTCGAGGACAGACGTGCCCTGGATTTTACATTGGCCCAATTCACAAGTAATGCCTAGGTCACGTTTGCCGCTGCGGCCGTGCGGTCTAAACTATTTACAGCAAGCTATAGGGGCCGCCGCAGCATTACCACGGTCACATACGGTAACGGTCACACATGTTAGTGTAGCCGCACGGCGTATTTTGAATTTGTGTAGACAGTAAACCTGCGGCTGCCGTACGGCATTTAATATGATGATGCACGATCGCCTTAACTCTGCCCTAGGGACCCCGTGGAATTCCTGCGGCCGCCGCAATTATTTTTGAGTTCTGCAAAAGTCATTTTTTTCAATTCACAAGACCCTAAGGCAGCCGCATTGCAAACGCAATGCCACCGTAGCCCGACGCATGGTCGCCGTAGAACCGCTCTACGGCATGGCTACGGCGTGTTTAATTGCCACTGCAGATTCTCTGCGGCCGCCGCAAGTATCTCTCAATTTCGGGGGCGTACGGCCGACGTATCCGTAGAGCAAATGTGACCTAGGCATAAAGATTCATGATGTTGTCTTTGACGAATGACCCGTTATTCACTTTTGTATCAATTAGCACATTTATATTTATCATAAAAATGATATTTCCTCAAAACTTTGTCGCAATCGTTGCTCCACCCCCCCCCCCCCCCCCCCAACTCAGTGTTATTTAGGGTACGCATATGCATGTTCCCTCCTTTTGAAAACACCCCCTAAGTCCGGTGTGTAAAGTCAATACGGGCCGGATTTTTGTGTACTATACGAGCCGGACTTAATTGGTGCGTGAAGAGTACCCCTTTACCGGACATTTTGGGAACAGGCATGGTATCCCTCCCCTCCGTTCACGGATGGGGGGGGGGGGGGGCTTTTCCCATACGTTTCGAAAATGTCTAGTATAGCGTTGTTGTTGTTTTTAAGCTGGTGACGTGATGTAAGGATAGGTTATCAACACCCATTTTATGAAACATTTTATTATCTTTGTTAATATGAATAAAGGAACATAAAACAATAGTTAAACAATTTACCTTAGTTTGTGATCAGTCAAGAGAAGAGTGTAGATGCCGCCGCGTTTTGTTTGGTTTTACATTTAAATGAATGAACAACGAACTTGCGCGTATTCACTGAGCTCTGTGTCATAAAATAAGAACACTTTACGTCATAATAAAACGAAACCACTTTGGTTTTGCTAAGTCGCTTCTATAAAATGAGAGCTAAATCCAGGATTTTGTTTCAGAATCTGAGTAAAGTTATCGGATCCCTTTAATAACATCGTTGATGTTTATGTATTCTTCATTGTAGGATCAACTGCTCCACCAAGCGGTATGTCCATCGCAGTGATTGGAGGAGCGGCCGGAGGTGGTGTGGCAGGGTTAGCCGTGGCTGCATTCGCATTCTATTACATCAAGTTTGTCAAACCCGCGGGAGGTGGTGGTCAAGCTTAAATAAGAAATACAATGAAGTCTATAACTTATTCTCAGGAACATCAATCTCAGGAATCGATTCTTAAATAATTATAGGAAAGTTGGCCTGTCTCCAATGACCCAAAACGCACTAATATATTTCACAATCATAACCACTCCCCTATGATCTAAGTTAATTATTTCATTATTAACTGTTTGGAAAATATTGATGATCAATTTAATCGAATGTGTGTGTGTTTTATATAACGCACATTGTGCGTGCTTGATTGAATTTCTCGATCAGCACATGGTGCCGATAAGGCATTATATATCTTAAATACATTAGTCGACGATGCAAGCTGGTCAATTACCAAATATGATTGTCGGTAAAATGTAAGATGGTATTTTCTTAAATATCGAGTTACAAGTTCATTGTGTTGGTGACAATTTCTCGAGAACAGGCTGCATTCACAAATAATTGTTTCAATGGGGAACGTTTATGAGAAGGACTTGAATTTCTTTAAAAGATAGAATTGCTACGATGCATGTTTATCAATAATTTGACGTCAATCGACTAATAAATCGTTTAATTTGGGAGGTCTATTTTGAACTAATATGAAATTAAATCTTTCATTGTTATTCGTATTGCATTCATGTGTTAATGTTGAAGTTGATGAAATTATATCCAAACAATTTGATTAAGGAATTTCAACGAAACATTCTCCATTATTGTATATTATTTTGTTTTCTTGCAACGAAAAAGTAAATAAATGATTACAATAAAAAAAAATAGTCTGAAGTTTGGCGTGTTCTTGAATTGTCTAAGTTTATGTTACTTTTCCTTCTTGATCTAAAATGTTTAAGCTTTTTCAAGTACATTGTTAATCTGAAATATATTATATACCACGGATCAGTATCATGCTTTCTCTCCATCTCTTCTTTTCCCTTTTTTTTTTAAATATTTTCTATCTTCATTCCTTTTCTCTTTTTTTGCGGGGGGGGGGGGTGTTCATATTGGACAGACAAAAAGCGAAACGAAACAAAGACGACACTTTGAAAAGTACGGTAAATTAGATTGGGAAGTACAAAGGGGAAACGATGAGAGGAAAGTTTTTAGACGATGGAAAGTATACAGGTTTACCAGGCATAACACAAATGAAATGGCAGTTGTCAACTCTGAGTATTCTGGCATAACAAGTTTTCCCGGGCAAGCTTTGCCGTTGACAAACATTTAGTTTGACTTTAAACCAATCAGAACAATCTATATTTTTGTTTTTATCGGGTAGAAGTTATTTGTGGATGTGACGCTAGGTGGCGCACTTATTAATCACGAGATAACATTCATGTACATTCCCCCCCCCCCCCCCCCCCCTCCTCCGGGGTCGGAATGGCCGCATGCGTGTTGCCAAAATGTCCGGTAAAGGGGTACTTTTCGTGCAACAAAGTCCGGCCCGAGAATTGTTTTTAAAAAAAAAGGGGTGTATTTGACTTTTCACCCGGAGATTTCTTTAAAAAGGGGGCGTTTTTTTTTTTCTTTTTTTTCTCTCATCTCTTTGGACTCCTGAGAAATTATTCCGAATTTAGAGGGGTACATTGAGCATTTTTCCGAATTTAGGGGGGGGTCTCCAAGGCAGGAAAAGCCCGCAAAAAGCCCGCGAAAGGGGGGTTCGGAAATGTTGGCAGTCCTCAGACAGGGGGTGCTTTCAAAAAGAGGGAACGAGCATATGCGTACCCTAAATAACACTGAGTGGGGGGGGGGGCCGGGACATTTTCATCTAGATACGTTATTGTTCATAGCAGTTCAGCGAATATACAACTTGATGGGTACTCGTTGGTTATTTTCAAAGCAAAACGTATATGTGCAGTAGTTTGATACATGTATTTCGTTTGAATAACACGAACAAAAGTGTATACAAGTCTTGATGCAAACTTGTTAACATAGAAACGATGAGGTGATTTAATAAAATAAAACGATCCGTATGATGCGCTACATCTTTTCTCCACCCCCCCCCCCTCTCTCTCTCTCTCTCTCTCTCTCTCTCTCATTCTTCTTTTGGTATTCACTACGAAATTTCACACAATGATATCTGCCAAGAATTTTTTTTTCTCCAAAGGGCTAGGTTCCCGGCTAGGTTAAGGTTCGGGTTACTTACATCGCTCAACACATATCGGAAAGCACAAGACGTTATACTGTATTTGTTTCATTTGTTATTACTTTACTTCTCTTATAAATATGCTGCATTTATTTTGCAAGTAATATAACGTTTTCAGTTGAGATTTGAAAGAGGGTTTAAACAGCATTCACTAAAGTCTTGATGTAGACTTATTTACAAAAATGACGAGGTGATTTGATGAAATAAAACGATCCATTTATGTTGCACTACGTCTTTTCTCCATCTCTCTCTCTCTCTCTCTCTTTCTCTCTCTCTCTCTCTCTCATTCTCCTTTTGATGTTTACTACTTTCACTTTTTTCTCTCCAAAGGGCTAGGGTTCAGGTTACTTACATAGCTCAACACATATTGGAAAACACAAGAGGTTATACTGTATTTGTTTCATTTTTATTACTTTACTTATTCTATAAATATGCTGCATTTTGTATGTAAGTAATACAATGTTTTCAGTTGAGATTTGAAAGAGGATTTAAACAGCATCCTCTATCTTAATCGAACGTTATTATGCAATGTTCAAAATCATTAAGTTCAATATCGAATGCTTAAAGTTCACTGTATATCGAGCAAAAATTGTTGTTGCAACAATTAAAAAATATATGTATAAAAGCTGCTTAAATAGAAGGTTGGGATGAATACACATGTCATGAAGATGAGAAAATCTTCATAATATTTTCCCTTAAATTTCTACAAGTTTGATTTTGAGGACCAAAAAAAATAATATTTAAAAACAGATTCACAATTAGAGACAGATGGTGTATCTATGGTTGGTGCAAATCATATACTTCTATCTAAGATTACCTTTTCAAACACTGCAATGCAACAGAAGTTGTTGAGAAGAGTATAAGTTATTTAGTTATCCAGAGAGTAGGTAATATAATGGAACAGAATAGGACACAACTTATGAGGTGACAACCAAAATATTTCTATATCATTTCAAAGATATAAAGCTCAGTTTACCACTTTCCAAAAGTTTGGCTCATTACCCAACGTTAAACATAGACAAGTCAACTGGACTCACTATGTGTTGGCTTGCAACGTTTCATAGTAACTCTAGTTAATTTGTCTATAATATTTAACATTATTTATTTGCCACCTGGACGGTTAGAAACAATCATAAACTTTTGTTTCATTTTTTTTTAAATACTAAAAAATGTATTCTCCAAGCACACTTTTAAAAAAAAATCACTTATAGAAATCAAATATCTTTTTAACTGCACATCAAAACACATGAATACTGTCATTAAGTAATCCACCATTAGAAATGTAAAGAACACTTTCAAATTCATATCTTCTTCATAAATCACATAAAATGTGTGAAGACATCACATGATGTGTATTTAATGCAAGCTCGCAGAGTACATGTAGGTCTTACAGCTTTAAAGTCAAATGATATTTGAATTCTTGATATAAATGCCATCTGCCATTGTAGACAGACATTGCACAATTATTCTTTTGCAGTAAGCACCAACTTTTCATTGTTTAACTGCTGAATTCTAACCTTTTGATTTCATTGACGGCAATATTTTGTCGTGATCACCGAGGCCACTTCTTAGGCCCGTCTTTAAAAAAGTGAGATTCTGGCTTTGTCTTGCAATACCTGGTCTACAACCTAGCCTGGAATACAGCTTTAAGGCTCATTCAGATACAAAGCGGGAAAACAACTTTTTTGTATTTTTATTTATTTTATTTTTTACAATGTGTAAATGAATGGCAACTGTGTGCAACTAAGGTCCTATGTGTATTCACTGAACTATGTAGGAATGAGGAGCACAGAATATTAAAGTCATTATTTTTTAAACCACTGCAGTTTAACGCATCGTAATGATGTTTTAAAAGCTTTAATGTGTTTTTAACATCTCAATGCCTCATTTCTGCTTCAAAAATCTTGTATCAAAATACTACAGAACCATATATGAAACAGTACTGATAAATAAACCTTAAGGGCTAAGATGAGCCATGAAAACTTGTATAAAGCTGCATTGTTCTCAAACCAGTGTACACATAATCAGATATATAGTTGAGAGGATATGACAAGACATTACTTACAGCACATCATAAGTATTACTTTTCACAGAAGATATCGAGGCACTGAGATTAAAAACATAAACAAATTATCTCAAAATCCAAGCTACTTAGTGGGATATTGCAAGGTGGTTAAAGAAATATTAGCCAGGATCAAACCAAGTAAGTCAGTCCTACATGAATGCTGTCCCAATAATACATCATAATAGTGATTCGTTGATCATATATACATTAAGTACACAATACCAAAATAAATATTGATAAAAACAGCAGCATTTAATATGCATAGAGTAAAAGTAAGCTTTTCCTGACATAGCAACTGACCCTGCAGATATATCTACTCACACTAGAATTTAAATGGAATTTGATGTACATGAATATGTAGATGCATGGCATCAGGCATAATAGCAATGCCTTCATGCAAACTGATTGATTCAAACCTACATACACACAAGCAGTCATTGAAATAATTCAAGAAGCATTATCCAGAGTTTGGATGACACAAGTCATCCAACCACTAACTAGGCAATGGTGTTCCAGATCTTGACAGGAATCAAGAAGATTATCAACTAAAGTTGAAAAATCCTTATTCTATGATCAAGCAGGACAACAATGGGTGTGTTCTTTTTCCTTAAAGAAATTAAAGTTTGATAACATATAATTGCTCTGCTTTGCTCAAATTGTGTTAGTCTCTTCTTAATCTCAAAGAATACACAGCAACTCTTCAATTTGTGTAACCCAAGTAATCTCTAAATAAAAACAGTTCTTTAGAGCAATTTGACAATAACATACAATGTAATGATGACTATAGAGGGAGAGATGGTTGATCATGATATATGGTCTGCTGGTGCAGCGACCTTGGCTAGCTTGATAGGCGGTCTAGCTCCATAGAAAACAACTTGTGTTAAGATAGCTATATCTATAGAGACTTGTAGTATACCACATATCCAGAACTGGGTGGGAGCATCGTTCACAAAGAAGTAACCCGTCTTGAATAGATCACCAGATAACCAGCACATCACCATCTTAACACTGCACGAGGAGACAAAACAAAAACAAAAATTGAAAATAAAATATGAATCAGTCATTCATAGAAACACAGTCGAGCATTCTTGACTGCTTTCGGGCACTTTATGCAATCAGAATTTGACTGTCTATCAATAGGTCAGAGACATTTCATCATCACACAGGACAAAATTGAACTAAACAAAAGAGTTAACATGTCTACCAGCCTTGCAAAACTATACAAAATCATTTAAACTTTGGCCAATAGGTACGGTATATCTTTACGAAAAAAAAACTGTAGACCATCAGACCATGAGACAGAAGGCCAAGAACACCAGCCATGTCAAGTCTTGTGAACCCTCTGAATAGTTACTAGAAGGAACTGGAAGATCAGCATGGCTGTCAGACGAGTACTACTATAAACCTTCAGATAACTTGTTCAGAAGGCTTGTGAAACCTACCTTGTAAGTCTCATGGCCTGTGAATTGTTGGTCCAATGGGCCAGAGATCTTGAGGACTGTTGGTCTCCTAGGCTCGGTATTTTTTGTTTCAGATTGTTTCATTGATTATATGTTATACAGTAGGCTTGCGGTTGATTAGATGTTGTTGTTGCAGAGTTATCTCAAAATTAGAGATCTGTTTCACATTTAAGAAACACAAGGCGGACAAATTAATGATTGTAACCTACCTCATTCCCTGTGTAGACTTGTTCCTAAAGTTGTGATAGAACTGCGGTGATCCCAACATGGCTTCAGTGAACACAGCCAGGAAACCTAACGTCTCTACATACGCGCTGAAGGAAGACAGGAAGTATGTCAGGATACCTCCAGCTACACAGAACATCACCATAAACACCACATAGTCAATAAAACGAGTCCACTTCCAGAAATAACGCCAGTCAAGATCTACAGGACAAAAAACAGAATGAAATCCAATTAACACACTGAACGTACTAAAGATAACATTATTACAACAAAAATTAAAATATTGATGGTTATAAAAGATTTCTCATTAGGTTTAAAGATATTGGGTGGTATTCCGGTAGCGCGTACTAAGTTAGCGCGTGCTTAGTTAGTTCACACTTTTATGGAGTGCCTGTTGTGAACTAATTTACCCTGAACAGATTATTTTAATCCTTCAATGAAAATTGTCCAAAAAATTAATTTTGCACTGAAATAGGAAGAAAAAGATAATATGAATATAAACTAAATTTCAACAAAGTCCTTGGTAGATTATCTTTGTCATGAATATTGAAGGAGGAAGATGAAACCTAGCATTCCATAGAAGTGCGAACTAAAATTCTTGTTTAGTCTGGACTTAGTCCCGGCTTAACTTAAGAGAATACCACCCATTGACATTTATTACATTCATTAAAGAACATTTTGCTGTCCTTAGTGTAATAATGCATCTACATATAACATAGTGCTGTCTTTTCAATTTCATCATCATCATGATACGAGGAGAGGTAAATCCTATATTAAATCTTCGGTCACTTCTTCAGGGTTGGTTATGTTCTAGAGTTAACTTATTGCACATGCGCAGGGTTTCGGACGTTTTTTATCAGATTAATTCAACTCAAATCGCTCAGACCACCAGTGCTTATCCAGTCTCATCTTGAAAATATCGATGGAATTTGAGTCAATTATTTCTTGGGGGAGACTGTTTCAGTCGGCCACCACTCTGTTGCAGAAAAAGCATTTCCTTATGTGTAGAAAAGACCTTTGCATGAAAATCTTTAAGGAATGCCAGTTTGAGTATTGAGAGATAGTATTTTGAAGTTTGTAATGGCATCGCTTCTCCTTCTCATATAGTACAGGGAGGGTAGGTCCCGAATCTTTAGCCTGTCTGTGTAGGGAAGTTCTCTTATCTTTGGCACCACTTTTGTCGCTCTCCTCTAAACCCTTTCCATCTTGTCACCCTTGCTTGTCACCATCTTCTTTCCAGCGTTATTTACAGACTTACTGGTTTCAGCTTTCAATTTGGTTGACAACTTTACTATGTTTTCTTGGTCTTGGGCTCTTTCTTGTCGTTCTCTGAAGAGAAGTTTACCACTCTTTGTGCTTTACTTGCTGCTCCTTCTAGCTGTTACAAGATCTTGTCCTGGATCCCTGGTATCAGTACAGATACTCAACAAGCTTGACGCAGCCAAGATGTCTCAGATAGTTGTCTTCTAAGTTCGTCCCATGCTAGATTTGGCGAGTCAACATCGTCTTCGGATCCAAGCAGAGTCCCCAGGCAGCAGTGCTTTCTTATTGATGTGGTATAGTTTCTTAAGCTTCTTTTAAACTGTATCCATGGTCAGAATCCACCTAAAATCTCCTTATTTCAACCAATCTTACTTTTTTTTACAGTAGCTAATCTTTGTAGTATTAGTGATATTTAGCAAAAGAAATATGCAAATGCCAGAATTTAGAATTCCAAAAAGGAGAGCTTTGATCAAAACACGTCCGTCATCCACGCATGTGCACGTTCCACAATTTAGTATCTCCAACAGCAGAAGCTGAACAGCCTAATAGTATGCATGTTGTGAATGTATTTCAATGCTTGCAATAGATTTGTTAATTTGTTGTCTTCTACACTATACATAAATTAATGTTATTTAATAATCGAAAGCAGTTCAGAGACTTCTCATTTTCTAAAACTAACTAGCCCCTCCCTTATCAAATTGGCAACAATGAACCAAAGGAACCAATGAGAAAGAATATCACAAAAATTAACCCCAAAATTGCCAATTTGCACATGAATAAAATGATTTTAATATTTTCCACTGTGTTACCAATCTAGAAAAATTAATGATTACTTACAATTAAATCGTTCTTATTTGAGAATGGCAGAGCACGCTGCATTGAAATAGACTAAAAGTGTTCTGTGAATTTTGCTCTTTAATCTGTTCATGCATAAATGTGCAATGTGTCATTCCTAGCATTCTGGACCTACTGATAATGCCAAAACGTTTATACAGAAAGGAGACACTGTATTGAATGCTACAGGTTAATAGATGATCATACCGAATATTGTTCTGCTTTCAACCTGACGAACCACCTGTCTATCATCATCCCTGCTTGTAGGGTGTGTTCCCACGCTGGCATGACGCACCCTCCCTTCCCCATGGATCATAGGATGGGGGTCTGAACACGCTTTAGAATCTACATCTACTTGTTTACAATTGCATTCAGCCAATATATATTTAGAGTATATGGGAGCGGGATGTACATGTAGGTGGGTCATGTGTTACACGTGACAAAAAAAATTCAGAAAGGGTTAAAAATGATTTAAATGATATCAGTTCGAAGTATGTGGGTTTAAGACAAGAATGGTATTAAATAAAATGGTTCAAGAAATGAGTTATTTAAATGAGAGTAATGAAACAAGCAATTAAATAATACATTGGTTTTTAAAACAAACATTCAAGATATGGATTAGTAGAAAACATAGAGGGCAGCATTCGGTATAATGAATGATATGAGATTGTAAGAATGAAAAGCAGAGACGCGGAATGATGCAATAGGCATGCAGGGATGGATTAGAGACAGGTAGGGAGGAGAAAAGAAGGGAGAGAAAAGAAGGGAGAGAAAAGAAAAGAAAGATAAAAAGTGAAGGGTCAATGATCTTGTAGGGCAATGTTTAGAAAAGTAAGCCCTATTTCACTATCAATATATCTTAACCCTGACTGCACTGGGCTGCTGCTCCAACAGATGTTGTTAATGTTCTAATTGTAATCATTTTATGCATATTATACACACTGAATGTACTTCATGTATTCATTATCATGTACACTGAATGGCATATTTGTAAAATAGAACTTGACTTACTGCATCAAAACATCATGTACCCAACATTTAAATAAATCTTGAATAAAAGTTAATAATTTAAAAACTCTTTATAACTTTGGTATGGATTTCAAGAATCACAAAGATCATGCATACAAACAAAGTATCCTATGACGATTGTCTCATTATTTCTGCAAATAATGATACATTTCTATCAATAGACAGATAAAAGTGGTCTTTAAGATCTGATTTTCAAGTATGGAAAAAGAAGCACCAAGGATGCTTTCTGATCCTCTTCTTTTCTTTTTTTTAATAAATTTAGTATTCTATTTCGTTTCCAAACTTTCTATGATTTCCATGACATTATTTGCTCTGTGAGGGTTAATAAGGATGAGTTTGGCTATGACAGATGGCAATGGAGATTTACCATGAAAAGAAATCTGAATTTAGAAAGAAAATGAGGAAGTACAATCGCCCATTCTTTTCTTATTCTCCCATATTGAAGGAATAAAAGTCCAAAACTTGACAAATATCTAGGATGGATTTCCCTTTACGTAAATGTCAGACTTATATTGGGTGTGGTGTGCTAGTTTTCCATATTGTTTACTTTTTCCAAGGACTGTGATTAAAGAAATTATGAGTGAATCAAAAGATTACAATCTACATGTAAATAATCTCTTTCACTTGACTTCAGCCTTTTCTCTAAACTAATAGAAATATGTGCTTACAAACAAAAGTGTATCTTTGACTAAATTTGTGTGTATATTGCATACTTTGAAACAATTATAAAGATCGACACAATAACGAGTGAAATATTGTACATGACAAGCTTATTCTATTGTACATTGCTGCCATTCAGTTCAGATCTACATTTTCTAATTCATGCAAGCTGTACATAGCCACAATGTAAAACTTTCTATATTTGTAACATCCAATAATTGAAAATTATCATTTGAGTAACTCTTACTTTCAATGATCTGTTTTAATTTCTGTCATTTCAAGTTTATTTTTTCAAGGATGGTATAAGTATTCCTCAACCCTACCTACTCATAAAGATATTCCAGTTGACCTCCCTAGAATCAAGCTGTACATGATGTACAGCCTCATGACAACAGTTTAATAACACTTCTATTTCATGAACTAGTTGGTTGAGTTAAAGACCCAGTTGTGTCACTTCATATTCAGGGTGTGTAACAAATGATCATTAGCGGAGTCACAGATGACCCATTATTTGCGGACTTTCGAGAAAATTTTCCACAAAATATGACAGATGCCCCTCCTATCAATCACAGGCTCCTCTATTTATACCAAACAGCTCTTCCCAAAAGCATTAATACTACTAAGAGGGAGATCAAGGCAGGGAAGAGGCGCAGAGCCATGGTGAGGCAGTCTCTTTTTTCACAAATGTGATGAGGTGATTGTGTTCCCCATTTTAACTCTTCACTTTCTTGTTGGATGTATGCGGAGTGTAGTTGATAATATGCAGAAGCTGCTTGTACAATTCATCTCACAAACATGGATTCGCCTTTCCCTGTCATAACTATTCAGGAATTAATTATGCCCAACCGCAAATATTGTTTCATGAGAAAATGGGTGCTATTTTATATTATGAGGGGGAGGGGAGGTATTAAAACAAGAATTTAAAAACAAGAGAAAAGGGTATCATATGTTGTTCTACAAAACAATTCCTCTTGCCTTGAAAGAGAAGAGAGAATGTTTTTATTGTAACCAACTTGACCAATTAGGAGGTGGGTATCTACAAATAGGTTTTGACTGTAAATGATTACGTAAAGAGATTTCTTCTTCTGCTTTGAGGTTATACGCACCTGTGACATATCTCTTGACTGAGGATAGATCCTGGAGAGCCTTTATTCTGGTGCATAGTTGTAATACAACCATCATAGTAAAGATCATGATAACACTCTGGGCTAGCAGTGGAAGCTCAAAAGGATGACCAAACCTAGAAACAGAACAGAAATACAATACATGTGTAAGACACTATTATCTACATTCTGTTTAGTTTTTCTTTGACATAAGCACTGCAGAAAAAATATTCCAGTAAGTTATTCTGGCTGATCACTCCATGCATATCTTACTAAGCATAATAAAATTAAAATGTGCAGAGAAAAACTAATGAACTCCAAGCTCTTCCTCTTTACTTATATCATAAACTTCAAACTGGAAACAGACGTTAATCAAAACTTGTACTAAATGCATTTGGTATTTGGATTTGATATTACACAACATGACTATGTTTTCTTAAATTGATGTTCATGTATACGATTGTAGAAATTAACTTGCTTTTAAAGTTTTTTAGCTACCTACACTACTTGTGAATCATTCAGATGAGTGATCTTTCCCTTAATTTCCTACAAATTCATGAAACTATACTTTATGGCTGAAAAAAATTGCTTACCAGAACAAGATCCTGAGTGTGTTAGCAATAAGTAGAACAAGGCAGACATGCGTTGAGAATCCCTCTGTGTTCTCTGAACGACTGATGTCCAAGTATTGTGGGATGAAAGGAACAATTCCACCAAAGATCATGGCTGCGGACGCTCCCCATGACACAAGGTTGAGGAGCGTTATCTCAGGTACTTGGTGAAGTTTCTTCTCAGCTAGGTCAGCAAACCCTTTGATCAAATCTTGCTCCATGATTTTAAGTTTCTTTGTTTCACTTAATTTCCTGTGAGTCGTGGCTCAAAGCCAAGTGTACTCCAAACATTCAATCAATTCAGGAAATGTTTTCACTATCTTACAGATTACCATAAATCAATCATACTCTTAAAGCATAAAGTTAAAGACAGTTGAATCTGAAGTATTGAGACTTAGCTGCGTAACAAGAAGTTTGACAATGCCCTCATCTGATCTGAGATACTCCCTTCTCATTAGGCCTTGGATCTGAAATGAATTATAAAGAAATAAAAGAAATATTCAGGATATTTTATATGCACTGGACTTAACATATTTTACTGCATGTACATTGATACATGTAAGTGTTTTGTCTACAATTTACACACCATTTCTGCACTTATTTTTACCCTTGTTACACACACAAATGTAATAACGCCCACAAATGTAATAACACTTTACCCACAAATGTAATAATTTTGAATCACCCACAAATGTAATAATGACTTTACCCACAAGTGTAATAAATTTGAAGGGATATTTTGTCAAATTTGTTCAAAACTAAAACCCTGTAATAAAGCATGGGTATAGTGCGCAGTCTTTACTCCAGAACCGGTTATTTCAAAAAATTAAAAAATCTTCAAAACTAAGACCCTATAATCGTTTTCCTGTGGAATAACATGAGAATCGAGCGTAGTTTTTCCTCCAGACCCAGTTATTCAAAAGTAAAAAAAAAAAAATTTAAAAAAAATTAAACTAAGACCCCACCATCTTCCAAACTAAGACCCGGTAATAAAGCATGGGCAGGCTTGTTGGCGGATCTTTTGTGAGGTTTTGCGGAGATTTCTGCTGACTAGTCCCAGCATCCGATTGGCTCGGGATGTGATGTTGTTCATGTGGCCTTGCCAGGACAAGTTGGATGAGAAAGTCAGTCCTAGATACCGGAGATCTGTTACCAACGCAAGAGGAGTGTCTCCTAGCGTGTATGTCGTGGTGATGGCTTTCCGACGTAGGGAGAATGTGATGTGGTAGCATTTCTCGGTGTTGAATTTCATCTGCCATGTGTTAGCCCATGAATGCAGCCTGTTGAGATCTTGTTGTAGGGCTTGGCTATCAGTGACATCAGTGATCGGACGGTATAGAAGACAATCATCAGCAAAGAGTTGGATTATGGAAGAGATCCCATCTACTATGTCATTGATGAAGGATATAAACAGAAGTGGGCCGAGAACTGTGCCCTGCGGTACCCCAGAGGTGACTGGAACCCATTCAGATGACTCTCCATCTACAACAACACGTTGTTACCTTTCAGTTAGGAACACCCTGATCCATCTGATAAGGTTGTCATGGATCCCATAGTGATGGAGCTTATGGAGGAGGCGATTATGGGGTACACGGTCAAAGGCTTTGGAGAAGTCTAATGCAACTGCATCAACTTGCTCTTTCTGGTCTAGAGAGTGTGCAACATCTTGAGATGTAATGATCAACTGGGTCTCACATGAATGGCCAGGACGAAAGCCATGCTGAACATCATCGAGAATATTATTTTCGTCATAGTGATCCATGATATTGCTGAAAATGACATGTTCGAGCAGTTTACTGCAGATGGACGTGATTGATACAGGGCGGTAGTTGGAGGCCTTGCTCCTGTCTGATATCACAACCACATATTCTGAGATTTTCATGGTCGCAGCTACCATCGTATGGCCGTAGGCGCTATTTGAAATTTATCAAAATTTACCGGGAGCACCGGTAAATTTTTATATTCAATTTTTCTTGAAAGCAGAAGTGTTTTAGGGGCCAATTTTTTTAGTGTTTATAATACATCCATAGGGGCATCCAAATATATTAACAAATATCACTATTTAGCCAATTTTCAAAAATTACCAAAACTTTGTAATACCTTTAAGACCTGGTAATAAAGCATGGGATTAGAGAGTAGTCTTTCCTTCAGACTCGGTTATTTAAAAAAAAAGGAAAATCTTCAAACTAAGACCTCCCCATCTCATTCCTGTGGAATAACATGGGTATAGAGCGTAGTCTTTCCCCCAGACCCGGTTATTTCAAAAGAAATAGAAATTTAAACAGTCAAGAGTTAAGGAGTAAAGACTGCGCGCTATACCCATGCTTTATTTCAAGGTTTTAGTTTTGAACAAATTCGACAAAATATCCCTTCAAATTTATTACATTTGTGGGTAAAGTCATTATTACATTTGCGGGTGATTCAAAATTATTACATTTGTGGGTAAAGTGGTTATTACAGTACATTTGTGGGTGAAATTATTACATTTGTGGGTAAAGTGTTATTACATTTGTGGGTGTTATTACATTTGTGGGTGAAGTGTTATTACATTTGTGGGCGTTATTACATTAGTGGGCGTTATTACATTTGTGGGTGTGTAAACCCTTTTCAGGTAAAGTACATGTATGTAATTGCCCCATGCACGTGCACCCACCATCCCTGTACAGCTTCCTGAGTGAGCTGCTAAAGGGATTACTCCATCAAGTACCAATTAGTAAAGATGTTGAACTTTCAAATTGATAATCATCATAATAATTTTAATTTATGATTAGAATCTAAATCAAGTTTAATTTCTATGTGCCTGCTACACTCTCAGAAATATGGACCAAGTATACATGTAAGATAAGATAAAACATTTCTTTGTCTTTCTTTTAAATGTCACAAAGAGCATAACATTAGATCATTACACATTTGCAAAATAAATTATGGCAATTAACAAAGTGAACTACCGGTAGTAGATCTAGACCCAGGCAGTAGATCCCCTACTAACTAACCCTAGTAAAAAAAATTAAAAAGACGAGACCCTGGAAAAAGAGCTTGTAAAATTATGAACTTTGGTAGGGGGACTTAAGGAACATGCATTAGTCATTACATGTAGACCTAGATCTACTTGTAAAAATATTATTGTGATTTTCTTCAAAATACTGTTTGAAATTAACTGCCCGAATAAGCCATTCAATCACACTGCACGACGTGTTATGTTGCCATGCCTAGCCACACCCACACTGCACCCAAACCAGGCCAGTCTGTTTCCTGCAAACCCTGTAATACTATGTAAAGAGCAATGTACTCAATTGGAAGAAGAAGAAGGAACCCATTCAACCTCAAATTTCAAAACACAACTTGTCAACTGCCCCGATTCAAATAAAAACAACCACTAAAAATGTAACATAGCCATAGGACCTACAAATTTTCAATTTTAAAAAGTTATTGTACAAATACTACAAGTCAAGCTTACAAGAATTTAAGTAAAGATATGGCAACTAAGAAGTAAGAATAAGATCCATACAATTTTCACCTCTGTCACTTGATCAGCACTGTCATGTCTTCAGAAGTTCAGTTGTTTGTATCATATACACTGCATGTAGGCGTCATACACGACACGTATTTTAATGTTTGTAAACAATTTGCATGCATAGTTTACAGCGATGAGGGCGACAAACAATTGTTTATGGTAAGCAAAAGCGTATCTCGTCGACGTCAGGATGAATTGAATTATTAAAAAGAAACAAATTATAACAGTTTTCTCGCTAGCCATAGAGTCCATAGGAGTCAACATTTTGATTAAACTAGAAATGTTTGAGAATATAATATAGTAAAACTTCTGGCATACTTACTGTATTTTAGCTAACCTTAAAATAATTTAGGACATTTGCCTGTGTAAAAGTAGTCATAGCAATGGTTTTTCTGTTTTCTAATTAAATAGAAAATAATTTGAATAATGTATTAAAGTTATGAATATTTTTATTGTGACAATATATTTGTTTTTGCATGCAGTGCAATCTTCTCCAAACGCACATTGAATCCTGCACCACATACAAAACTGTAATATGCAAGGACACCATGGGAACTTTCTTTTCTTACTAAATAAATAATCTTACTTAATTTCCTACCTAATCTTACTTAGTTTCTTACATGTACCTAATTCTACTTAGTTTCTTACATCCCACTTTGCTTACTAAATAATTCTACTCCTACTTATTACAACCCTATACGGCCTAATGTTTGTTTCCTGACGTCACGGCATGAACTCTGCAACTAGTCGAGCTCTATTGATTCCTTTGGCGCGAGGCCTGAATGGCGTTCCATAGAGCTCACTCAAGCGATGTAAAGCTGATTCGAGATAAATAAAGAAATTAATAATAATCAATTTGAATGGGCAATGGGCAAAGTTACGAAAAACAAGATGGTGGTAAAGCATTGCCCGAATTGTGAAAATCAGGTAAATATATCCAGCTCATGGTGTTATTTGTATTTTTGTATTTAATCCAGAGTTACAATGTTCCATTGTTTCATATTCAATGTCTGTGAGTGTGAGCTTGAGCCGAGTTACTGACGGTCTGTGGATGACTATGATTGAATGATGAGTACCGTATGAGAGGCGTACGTACGTGAGTGCGATTTCCTGGATAAGTTCAGGCTAGAGTGGCTGTGCATGCCCAGCGCCTGGCGGTGGCGCTTGTTCAGTAGGCCTATCCAAAATTTGACCCGTAACTCCGGCGTGGAGATACCCGACTAAAACATAGACCCTCTACTCAAACATTCTCAAAATGAAGTAAATATTCATTAGGTCTAAATGTCCAAATATATAGATCATGAGTTAAAAGTTGTTATGTTTAGACTATTAGACTACCTGTTTTGTGTCAATTTTCTAGTTATTTTTGGAGTAGTCTTTTGAAAAACGTTGATATTAGTTAGTAGGGTCTATACACTTTTTCACAGGTTTCCGATGGTGGGTTGCAGGGGGGCGGGGGCGCGACTGTGTGAAGTTATCTACCGTAATGTCTCAGATTCTCATTACGGTAGATAACTTCACACAGGCGCGCACCCGCCCGCAACCCACCATCGGTATGCACTTGTATTGTGCAGCGGTTTGCCATGAAACCTGTGAAAAAGTGTATAATAATAGATTTTTATATATAGGCTAGACTATATAGACTTTATATACTTTATTTTTTAAATCGTTTTTAAAACCGAAAACCGTCCGGTTTTGACTGGCGGTTAAATAGAATTGGAGATATCCGTGAAGTTACAGCACTAGTATGGATGAATATTTTCTTTCTTATTTACTATTAAAACTCTTATAACTTTAAGAATAGGCTAACTAAGAACAGTTTGTATACTTTTATAATGCTTTTATATTAAAGGTACTATGTCCCATTTGCAGGCCAAAAAATGAAAAGGGTAGATTCCCGGTGGGGTCACTCCCCAGCAGAGGGTGACACGTATGACCGTTACCACAAATGCAAATAACCCCCTTTTGCGGTCAATTTCAAGGACATTTTGAGAAAATCAACCCCCTTTTTTACGTCAAAACAAGGACAAAATCGTCCTTTGGAATACCCCTATTTATAAGATTGTAAGGAAATTTACCCCTATACCATATTTCAAGGACACGACATTATACCCTTTTTTCATTATAACATAAAGGTGTCCAAGACCAGAGTCCTCAAATTACTTTTTTTTCCCATTAACATAAAGGTGCCAAAGACCAGAGTCCTTCAATTACAAGTTCACACACATGCAAGTAATAATCAGTTCACCATATTACTGACCTTGTATTCCTTACAAAATCTGTTAGCGTATTAGCATCATGCTGGCTCACAAATTGGCGCTCACTGCACTGTCAAGTTGTGTCCTCCTCTGATCCATCCTCATGTCCATAAAACAAGGTTCACTTTCATGATGACATCTTTCAACACAACATGCATTAGTGCTTGTATTTGTAAAGTCATTTTCGCATCACTCATTTCCAAATGTAATGTTCTAAAATGTCATATACAATAATTAACATGAAAAGTTTCTTCTGCGTGAAGATCTCCTTGTATTTTCTCCTAGTCATTTTCGCATCACTCATTTCCAAATGTAATGTTCTAAAATGTCATATACAATAATTAACATGAAAAGTTTCTTCTGCGTGAAGATCTCCTTGTATTACTTTCATCTTCGGGAAGTTCGTTTTGGGCTTACTGTGATCCGGATTCTGCCATCATCAGCGGCTCCGATAATTTCTCTTCCTGGTTTTCTCTTATCCCTTTTCCTGACCCCTATTTATCAATTTCGAGGACACCTGTGCACCCCTATTTTCTATATTTCGAGGAATATTTTGTCCGCGGACATTGCTTGAAATTTACCCCTTTTTCCGCGATTTTGGTAACGGTCATGCGGTCCGGAAGTCACATTGAGTGACCCCACCGGGGGTAGATTCCAACAGCATTTGAAAGATAATACTAATTTAGAACTTCCCTAAAAAAGGTGGGGCTTGAAAATGTCTTCAAGTGGGAAAATAACAACTATTAGTTTTCAAATCGACTTAGGAGCTAAAGAGCCAATAAGTAATAGTCTTGATTTTCAGACCATTTTACCAAATGGTCATACGTTTTATGCTGCGCAAAGATTCAATCACTTTAATTTTGGCCATCACAAGAAGTGGGTTATTGATGTAGACAAATGCTCATGTACCCTTTACAGCTCATCTTATGTATGTTATAACCAAAGAAGAAAAAAAGCCAGTCAGTCACTCAATAGTGTCTGACAGTGAAGTCTAGCAAGTAAACGGGTTTCCTTGCATAATTTGAGTATTAGGACACTGCTAACGTTTAAATTTCACAGATAGGACATACATGACATATTCATAATTCCTGCAAAGTTCTACAGAATTTGAAGTTGGCTGCAAAAGGGACATAGTACCTTTAACACAAATATGAACTGATTAGTGAATTGAGAGCTTGAAGATTAAGAAATCAGTTTTAAAATAAACTGTCAATTTTCTTTTTTTTTCGCTGCCCATAGACTAACTTAAAGTTGCCTTGAGATGGCATTCTCTCAAAAATCGCTTATCTTGGCAAGGACATTTTTGTGAAACACTGAGCGGACAAGTTGAGCGACAGCGGCAAGATGTCATTGATCTTGTAGTTATGACTGTTTCAAGAAAAACGACCCCTGGTACCGCTTGAGCCGGCATATATCCAAAAAAACAAAGGCAAAACTAGTAGAAATTAGTTATTCCAAGCTGAGGGATTTGGAGGGAGGGGACGAGAAGGGGGGGGGGGGGGAGGGTGACCAGACGTAAAATTACCATACCATATCACTTGACAAACCTAGTGACCTCCCAATTTCAGTCACATTGTACTTATCTATTCTAGATCTACCATATTTTTTATATTCCCCCCCCCTTCCAAAAAAAAGGACCTGGTTTTACATTGATTGTAAACATGAACATGTATTTGTTAAAATTGTACATAATTACATAATTTACATAATACAACTTAGTTTGATTTTGAGATGTGAGGTAATTTGGAGAAACTATGTCTTTTCCATCAATACGAATTAGCATTGAACACTATGTGTTGCTGGTGTGTGTCTTTTTAAGGTTCCAGTAGCATGTAAAGAGTGTAGATGTGGACATGCATTCTTCACCAAGAAGCTTCTACACTCACATTCTGGAGGAGGAGAAGGAGTCTCGGTAGCAGGAGAAGGAGCAGCAGGAGCAGGAGGAGGCACATGCATGGGTAAGGCAAGACAACCATCGGCAACAGAGAACATATCATATTCTCTTAGGTCTTCATCAGCTCCTACCTTTGTCATTCCCAAATCCTGTAAACAGGCTGGTTTCAAATCCTACCAGTCCTTAGCCCCACGTCTCTGGAACAAACTCCCCTTGTTCTTAAGAAACGGTACTTCACTAGATTTCTTAAAAAAACAACTGAAAACGTACCTGTACAACTCCTCTTAATTGTTGATAGTCTAAGAGACAGTGCCTTGTATCCTTTGGAAAAGGTGCTATATAAATCCAATTATTATTATTATTATGACTGCTACTACTAAAAGCAGACAAGAGTAGCCAAGAGCAGAGCCAAAAGCAACCAATCGAGTATCAGCTATGAATCCCCTTCAAGATTGCTAAGGCGATTGTTTTTTATGCAACATTTACAAGGAAGCTTATTTTGATCATAACCAATCGATTGGGAGGAAAAATGGAGAAATTACAAGTGGAAATTTAGGAAATTGTAAGCATTTTAAAATGCAGAATACTGTAGGCTTCATGACAGTGCTGCAATGTCCCTTTCAAATTGTTACTTTAGCCCTGCCCTTTTGCTGTCTAAGTGTTTTAAGTATTTTATCCCTGGTCCCAGTGGTCTGCATAAAACTAGATGTTATTGAATGTCCTTTTACAGCGTTTCTACTGCAAGTTATTAGGTATGAATACAAGATAAAAGAATCTCTTGAATATTAATGCAGTCTGATGTGGCAACAGTCAGCAAAAAAAAAAAGAGTCAGGACTTGGGATAAACGTCATAGCTTTTTTTTCATAATTGTATTTTTTTCTTTGGACATGTGAGATAGTGATGTTTTGACCACAAAAAAAAAGTTGTCCTGTTATCTTTTTATTTTCTTTGACAGAAGAAGATAGCAGTGGAGTAAAGAGAAGGCGTACTGAGAGAGTGAGGAGGGAGAGACCAGACTACTACAGTGCTAGTGAATTTGAGAATCATCTCAGAAGGGTTAGTAAAGAAGGAATAAATAGTGATGTGGATCTAACCATGAAACTAGCTTTCATCAAAATTATAAAAGATACTAAACACAATGCCTTAATAGTGGAAAGTCATGACAAAATCAGATGATGTCAACATTTTCCCAAAACAAACAATTCCATCACATAATATTCCTCACCATTTCTAATTCTTAGGAGTCTCACTCAACAAAATCTACTTGCATGGGGACTCATGAATCATTGCTAAATATTCAAATCATGATAAGATTTATCTTTAGTCAATGTTTGCTATGTGCATCAACTATCAGCATAATCCATCTTTCATTATGGTTATCCTTTTACCGACTTATTCCATCACAGATATCAACATCAAAATCAGGAGAAAAGGGGGAGGACAAATCATCAAAGAAGAAGAAACATAGAAGAGGTCGACCAAAAGGATCCCAGAATAAGTCAATAGGTAAGTACATGTCACAATATCTATCACAAGTATAACTTGTTTTCATTGGTTACCCATCATTCTAATGCAATAACTCGTATTTTTTCATAGAGTTATTGTGCAATACTATTTTACAGCACTACCGCAGAGGGACATATATACAATGTGTTATATGCTATACAAGAATGCTTTTATTATTATCATTAGTAGTAGTAGTAATAGCAGTATTGTTATTATCAATTTTGAGTGAAAATGTCAACAAGCACAGAAAAAAACAAAGAACCTAGATTACAATAAGATATTATGATATTTTAAAATCAAAACCAGAAATCAGTATGAATCAGAAGAAAAAAATTCATGCCACTTCATGTCGCTAATGTACCTTATTTTCTTTTTTTTGCAGAGGAGATTGAGGAAGAAAGAGAGAAAGATTTATATTCCAACCTACCAACTGAAAAGGCCTTTGTGTATGCTGTAGTTCTAGCTGAAATCAATGAGAAGCTTCAAACGCAGAGTCAGGAATGGAAACCACCAACTGATCTACATCTCAAGAAAAGATCAAAGAAAACATGACCAGAATTGAGAGTGTGATCGCTCACTCAGTAAGCAAGGATATAAATCTTTCAGACAAACATCGATGCATGGTGTCCATAGCCTGATTCAAACTATTTCACATCAGATAGACATTCTATATGGATACAAGGAGCATTCTTCTGCATGAATGGGCTTGATGAATAGAGAGAGAGAGAGATAGAGACTCAAAATGACACATTTGTGGACAGTGGGGAGAGAAGATACACTTGGTCTTAATCTTACAATCCTTGATTGTGTCATGAAATGTGAAGCTGCAATATTGAAGATGCCCCTTCCTCCTGGTCAAGGTCAAGCTAGTAACCATGGCACACAGGAACACAGCTCTAGAGGAAAATTCACTAATCTAGGCGTTACCTTTGTTATCTATTTCGCTGTCAACAGAAATTAATTATCTTTCTACTGTCATCTTTTTAACATGTAGACTACTGAATTCTCTCAGTCTCATAGACTTAATGCAGGATCCACCCTGTTCCTGCAGGCAATAGGTTAAGTGATCATCAGTATATCGTCAGTTTGGAGCCACAAGGGCATCGACTCATATATACTGGAACCCAGAGTTAACGCCCTTCTGGCACCAAACAGATGATACGGCATCCAGTTCAATTGTGTTCATTTTTGCTTTAAATGTATTACATCTCAGCCACTGTGGTGCTGGAGAATAACATGCCCTGTTTTTCTATCCATGGTTAATGTATCCAGACATTAATTCACAAGAGTGTGGAATCCTGACAGGATGTAGGATGAAGCTAGGCTGATAAAGGTTGCCTCTTGTCAGGTTTCCCTTTTCTAGGCAATATGGAGTAGGTTTTAACATACAGGTGTACATGTATTTAGGTACTGGATAAAGGGATTTTGTGTGGGGAATAAGAGGTCGATGTTCATGGAGTCCTGGTTACAATATATACTATTAAAGATCTGGTCACCCTAATAAGTTTGTTTAAAATTGATAACCTGTTAACTCTGCATAACTCAAAGATTCCCAAGTCAAATTTTCTGTAAGTCAAATTGATTATGCAGACCAAACTATGCATGATTTAACAAATTTTTTTTGCAGTCAGAACAGGTTTGATTTGTGCAGACTTAAATGCTCTTTTTAACACCTCAGAGGGGGGACGGTAGTCAAAGTTGCTACACATTTCTATGAATTCTTCACAGCATTAATGTCATCATTGTTAACATAAGATGTCACATTTGCTAATCTTTCAGAGCTCAGATTAGAATTAATCTGGAATTTCTTAAACTTCGTTCAGTTATGACGCCGCAGAAGCCTGTTTTTATACCTCCGTTACGAAGTAGCCGGAGGCATTATGTTTTCGGGTTGTCCGTCCATCCGTACGTACATCTGTACGTACGTACGTCCCGTTCTTGTGTTCGCGTTATCTGAAGAACCGATCGATGGATTCCTGCCAAACTTTGGTCATGTATGTATCTTGCAGAGCCGATGAACTGATTAGATTTGGGGGGTCACGAGGTCAAAGGTCAAAGGTCACAGGGCTCATTAGGTATGCAGAACAGGGAATAATTTTCCTGGTATCGCATCGCAATTTGCTATGCATTTTTGCATGACTGCTATACAAAATATTGTTTGTGTAGCAGTTTTCTTCCATAGAAATGTACAGAATTTCATTTGAAATATTTATCCATCAGCTGAAATTGCTAATCAAAATATTTGAGGAAAATTATTCCCTGCAGAAACAGCTCGTGATCGCGTTATCTGAAGAACCGATTGATGGATTCCTGCCAAACTTTGGTCATGTATGTATCTTGCAGAGCCAATGAACTGATTAGATTTTGGGGTCATGAGGTTAAAGGTCAAAGGTCACAGGGCTCATTATGTATGCATAAACAGCTTGTGATCGCGTTATCTGAAGAACCGATTGATGGATTGCTGCCAAACTTAGGTCATGTATGTTACTTGCAGAGCCGATGAACTGATTAGATTTAGTGGTCATGAGGTCAAAGGTCAAAGGCCACAGCACACATTATGTATGCAATAACAGCTTGTGATCGCGTTATCTCAAGAACCGATTGATGGATTCCTGCCAAAATTAGGTCATGTATGTTACTTGCAGAGCCAATGAACTGAGTAGATTCTTGGTTCATAAGGTCAAAGGTCAAAGATCATGGGCTCATTATGTATGCAAAAATAGCTTGTGAACGCATTCTCATTAGAACTGACAGATGGATTACTATTTAACTCAGAACATCTTGCAGAGCCAATGAACTGAGTAGATTTTAGGGTCATGAGGTCAAAGATCAAAGGGTCGTATATGCATATGAGAAAATGCTTGTAATCACGATATTCTGAGAACCTGTCAAGGGATTACAATTGAACTTGAATCTGAAAAATTTCTTCTGTTTTGGTTTGTAAAATTGCTCTATGATGGAGGCATCATTTTCGACTGCGTGCAGTCAAATTCCATCTAGTTTTATTTGTATGATGACGTAGCAAAGAGCTCGGTGAATACGCACAGGATCCTTGTTGCACTCAGTTGCCGTTCATGTACATGATTTTTTTTTTTTTAAACAAGGCTGCTTTCTTGTGTTGAGTTACAGCTTCATATCTTCATATCTTTACTGCTGCTTTGGTATTCTTTTTCAGAAAATATAGTCCTAGATGATCTTAGATTTGGAACTCAAAGATCTTTTTTTTAAATATTATTTTACATCCTTAATGCTCAAAAAGTTATGATCAATTTCAATGACGGTTTAAACGAGTTTGATATACAGCCATGCAAAAAATTATTAGACCAAAAAAGTTCTTTTTTAATTTTAATAGTAAGATGGACATAAAATGCCATGATAATTAGGTGCAATTGGTCAAATATGTCATTAGTTCAAGGATATCTAAAGAATTTGTTTTCGTTGTTTACATGCATGAAATATTATTCCTCGATAGGGAGCTCGTTCTAATTGTTTTTCCGGGACTGTATTTTTTACATGCATTTTACATTCAGTTTCACTTTCACTCAATGGGCCTGTACATTAGAAGAATTGACCCTGAATTCATTCACCATTTCCTATATCTGTTCAGAGTTTATCACATCTGTCACAACCATGTATCAGAGTTCTGTGCACATTAGCAGTTTGGAACATCTAGCACCAAAGAAGGTATAAACTATAAAGCGGACTGCACTACTTGTAGCTACTTACGCCCTCTATATAGCAAACAACGCCTAATCGGTACCCATTGGTCCCCCATGATTCCCTTTATTTTATGTTAATTGAGAGTTTATTTGATGAGATAACACCTGTCGGTGACCACACAGGGAGGTCTAATCCCTCCTGGCCAAACTAGTGCAGATAGGCTTTAATTCATTTCATTTAATATCTGCCAGGTATTTGCAGTGAATATTGTATAAAGTTAAGAACCTATACATTCGCACCTCTGTTTAGGCCTAGATGATCCATTCAAAGTAATATAACGACTTGCCTAACTTGAAAGCTAACATTAATGCTCCAAAAATCAGGGGGATGATTGTTGTTTTTTTTAATAATTAAATAACATCCTTCCATTTTCTCCCTGTCTATCAGGCTTGTTGAAGTTATACATGTATGTAAATGATCAATCACTTGCAAATTTAAGTGCATTTTGTATGTTTATTGGTATGAGATGTCATGAAGTCAATCATCTATGTTGAAAGGTGATTATTATCAGAATTATATGTATACAGTTTATTGTCATTTTATAGATGTTTGATACAGAAAATAAAATCATGTCTTTTGATATATTGGTCATGCTTAAAGAAAACAAAATCTCCTCCGCGTGTCCTAACTACCTGAGTTTTTATTACAAAATGGTGATGTTTTTTGTTTTAATCTGAATTTAAACACAGAATTGAGACACTAAGGTCCCATCGCACGTGACTTTGATTTCCATATGATTATAGTATAGATTGTTACGTGCTGAATATTGAAAATATGAGAGGAAGGGGACTCTTCAAGCAAGTTCTAGGAATTGTTTCCCCCTCCATATAAAGGGGGGTGGGGTATTTCACCTGGAGCGTATGGAGATGATACTGATATAATATCCACATGATTAATCAAACATGGGACTTCAGCCTACTTGGAGTGGCAATGGGGGCATGTGCTCCCTCCACTTGAATGATGAGAAAGAATGAGAAAATGAAAGGGAGAGAGGACACCAGTAAGGACCCTTTTTAGTAACTGAATATGACCCCCCCCCCCCCCCTTCATGATGCCGGTGCCCCTCTAATGGCTGGCCCTTGCTACGCCACTGATTACCACTATCATATCTTCTTTTTCTTCTTCTTCTCCTCCTTTTTCTTCTTCTTTTTCTTCTACTTCTTCTTCTCCTGCTACTTCTCCTTCATCTTCATCTTTCTCTTCTTATTATCATTCACCATCATCTTCTTCTTTGATGTTGTCTGCTTCCTTCAACCTTAGAGATTCTTGCAGAACTTTGAGATAGTGTCGTTAAAGTGAAGTGCATCTGCCAATAATTTACAAGGTGCAAGTAAAAACAGCCTCCAGTCGATTAGAGATGAAAGGCTTGGAGAGATGACAGGGAGGGTGCTCCAAGGAGGAGTTTTAATGTTGCTTAGTCCTTGAAGGAAGTATGAGATATTCTTGTGTCGTGGTCGAGTGGATACGTCGCCGGAATGTCGATCGCAAGGTCCGCGGTTCGAGTCCCGCCGCGGCACTAATGTCCTTTGGCAAGACATTGATCTACATTTGCCACATTCAACCCAGGTGATGTAAATGGGTACCTGGCAGGAATGAATTCCTTGAAATGCTGGAGCGCTGTATAAACGGCAGCTAGCCTAAACCCGGCTAATAATAAATGCGCCTCGGAATAGAATTATCTAGATAGACGGCGCTATAGAAATGCCTATTATTATTATTATCACGTTTGAACAGCTCTTGTTGGTCTGATAGATTTGGTGATGTCTGCCTCAGAGTTGAATGTAACTAGCTGGTTGTTGATCTTATAGAACTTCACAAGACAAAGGTGTTCTCGTCTATGTTTAAATAATTGAATTTCATGTATATAACAGTCTAAGCTAACATTTACACTAAACAAGTAACACATCAACCATGAAATAGAGGCGTTTGAGGGAAGGATACGAAAAGAACAATACCTCGACAGTTCTCTTTCTCACGGCACACCATTATCAGTTTTTTCTGAAGGACTTTACAATGACAAATGTGTCAGATAATACAATTTTCATGAATTTGTATGCAAAGTCGAATGACCTGAAAAAATTGCACTCGTTTTGAACTTACTTCCGGATATACATGAACTGACACTGTATAGTTGCAACCTGTTTGAATATCGTTACATTGATATTTTGAATGAGTTCATTAAGCGATGAGTGTTAAATTTCCCACGTCTCAGTATTGAGGGTCGGTGATGAAAGCCGCCAATTTTATTATACACTGTTTTCTTGTTCTAACCCCCCCCCCCTTTCCTCTCATATAAGTTGTAGGCCCCTATGGTTATTTAGCTTTCGTCATCTCTTTTCATCTTCATCATTTTGTATCATGCTACAATGAACCGTTGTACCCTTCTCTATCTCAATCTGCCCTTGATCTTGATCTTCGTAATTATTAATGCGCTCCAGGCTGGTTGTACAGAGAAATTTTACTGTATTCACTCTTTTACTACGACTTGCAGGAAGATTTTTTACATCTCCGTTATCTGTTGTGAACAAGTGGATTCGAGTTTCATTTTGACAGATCTTGTAACAGATTTAACTAGATATCATTTCATCATCTCATGACTGACCAACAAAGATGAATTTGTGAAACATTGTAGAGCAAGCACCATGCGCGCTAGCTACCACAGACTGACACCAGCGCTATACAAGAACCAATCGTCATCATCGTCATCATCATCATCATTTTCATCATTCTCGTATCCTCTTCATAATCTGATCATCGTCATCACCATTCTCCTTTGCTTTTACAGGTTGGAACGACTTACAGCCTCGCTTGATTTTCTTGGTTAAGACTTCGTTTATTTTTAATTGGGGGTGACGTATAGACTGTGTATTGACTTCATAAAAGTAACTCACATAA